TCCATCCATCCATCCATCCATCCATCCATCCATCCATCCATCCATCCATCCATGCATCAAACAAGCAAACAAACAGGAAAAATTGCATATCCCCCAAGCACTGTATCACGCAATCAATCAAAATCAACCATCCCTGTCCATGACCTATCAATCACGGTTATGTGTTTCCCAAATGCTGTCGATACTTGGATTGCATTGCGGGGGAGGGCGCAGTCCGCCTTTATTCACACAGCGTCCATTCATCCATCCATCCATCACGCATCCATCAACGGAGTGCCAACCAACCGACCAACCAACCAAGCAACGAAGTGGCCAAACCCACAAACCAAGCAACCAAGGAACAAAGAAGCCGAACCGCGTAACACTGTGTTTTCCCCAAATTCTTATCAAATATTGGCAGGTATAAACCTTACAGTATCATCATTTTTTTCATAAGGGATTTTATAGAAAATTGATGATGGTAAGGTTCATGGTAGGTTAGTAGGTTGACCCATTGAAATAAATGATGTTCATCATATTTGTTTTAATGGTGGGAAAGGTCAAGAGGGAAGAGACAGATGAGCCCCTTCTTGGATCTGGGGCCTATGAACCTAAGGACTGTTAACGCCTGGTCCGGATAACAGTCGTCTTTTCAATAGTCGCTAACAGACAGAAATTTGCATATCCATCAAGCACTGTATCACGCAATCCATCAACATCAAGCTAGCCAACCAACCAACACACCAACCAAAGGAAGGAGGGTGAAAGAGAAAGGGTAGACGGTCAAAAAAGAAGGGTAGAGGGTGAAAACAAAGGTTGAGAGGGTGAAACAGAAAGGTGGAGGGTGGAAAAACAGGGTGGGGTGAAAAAACGGTTTGAAAACAACAGGCGGCTCCAGCCTGCTCTCACGTGAACTATTTTGGGTACCGAGAGCCCAAGTAGATCCTTATATGGTGAAAGGAGTGAGTTGACCTTGCCCGAAGAAATGCCCTTTCTGATCTTGGCCATAAGGTTGAGCCAGACTCCTGGGTTTGAGAAACTTGGCTCCAACTATATAGCCCATTGAAGGGTTGGCTGCTAGTCTTATCATGTTTTATCTAGTCTTAAAGTATTTGGAGTCAGAGTACTTTAAAGTACTGTAGACTTTTTAGCTACCTGCTTCGACTCCTTGTTTAGCAACTCCTTGTTTAGGTACTTTCAGAATGTGGTGCTGGTCTCTTGTTTTAGTGACAGCTATGGTCCTTTCGACTCTGCCAGAGTCCCGAGCTCAGACCTTCCGATTCCGCTGATTTTTGGACTTGGATTGCTTTGTCCGTTTGATTTGTTTACATAAAACATGGTTTGTTGGAGGCCATCGCTTTTTGATTGGAGTCTTAGGTTTAGAGGCCAGTTGGAGGCCGTCGCTATTAGGTTTGAACTCCTGTGGTTAAGGTTGAGATCGGGAACATGCTGGGGATGCACACAGCACAAGAGGCATACAAGGAGATTGTCCAGAACCTCTGGAAAAACGTCATCAGGCTGCCATTAAAGACTCGGACACCGACTAAGAGGCCTTGCTTTGTTGTATCGAGGAGCTTGAAGTGGAGCTTGGCAGCTCGTTGTTTTCCATTAAATTCTGCAGCATGTTTCGGTACATGTGTATGTATGTATGTATTTATATATATATACATACATACAGCATATATATATATAGCCATCACCAAGGTGAAGCCTGAGAGAGTTTTCAGATTTGATGTGAATTTCCATATACCCGTGCCTTGGCACATATTTCTGGACGCCTCGACAGAGATGGTTTCATTTCTTGGTGATGCTTTCATTTGTTTGAACTCAGGAAAACAATCTGGACACCTGGCAATGATGTGTGAAACTGGTCGAGGAATGCATGCGATGCATTTCCTTTTTCACCAGTTTCTGTGCCAAGGACACCTTCATTGGTCGAGCTGCCCACATCCAATTTCTGGAGTGCCAGCCGGTCATGAGGCTCCATGTCCATTAAGACCGTGTCCCGTGCAACTTTGAGTTGTCAGTCTTGTGCCAAGGATGCTCATTCACAACTTCAGTTTCCTCTTCCGATAGAACGAGCCAGCTTCTTTGGTGTGGGTCTCAGGGACGTCGCTCCTCTCGCGTCAAGTGCGGTTCCTCAGCACTCAACTCAACATCCTAGGAGCGCGAGAGCACCGAGACTCTCCGAAAGAGATGTGCGCGTCATGAGCCAAAAAGATCGCAAGCCAAATGGCTTTGCTTTGCGATGAGGACTTGTGCCTGCATGAGGCTTCAAATCCAGAGAATGTAAAGTCAGTAAATGTGATGATTTATTTTTCCTGGCACCGTGGCCTGTGGCCTCTTCATTTCAAAACGAACAAAATGATGCCCTCAATGTGGGTCTTGCGAAGATGCAAGCCATGCAATTAGGTCAAGGTACCTGTTGCTTCGGAAAAGACAAGTGGCTGGATTGCCGGTTGCAATGAGAGGTTCTCTTGCGGATCTCTTCTTTCAGATAGGCCCACCAGTTGCTGCAGAGACACCGTTGACCTGGCGGAGTCTTGCAAAAAAGGTGTGCTCGAATAGGCTGGGCACGAATATGCTTAGAACATCCAGTTAGATTGTAAACCTTGAAGGGCCAAGCAGGTGTGCGGTGCATGTTTTTCACCCACAGATCCCACTTCATAAGGTCATGACTTGGATTTCTAAGCTTTCGGACCCATGTTACATGTGAAGCTCGGTTTTGCATGAGTGCTTGGACCTGTCGAGCTGCACCTTTGGAGCCATTCTGTTCTTTTGACCTCTGACAGGACCTGATGATCAATCCGTTGGGAGCTGGTCCATTTCAGCTTGCTGGGTTCTGAGACGTTTCACAAAGCTTGAAGTTGTGGAGCAGACGGGCAGTCTTTCGGAGGCCAAAGCGCTGGAAGAGAAGCGCTCCAAGCAACTTGAAGACTTGGATCGCGTTGACAGGTGCAGCGAGGGATGTTCCACTTGGAATCGTCATAAATTCCAATTCATGATCCAACCAGTCGGTTTATACAGTGGAGTCAAGTCTTTTGGAGCATGCTCTGTGCTGCCATGATGTGGCCCCAAGCTCAAGGAATGATTTTTCTTTAGGTGGCGAGTGTTGATGCAACCCCAAAATATAGGAACCAACTCAATCATGCGAGGGGTTACTGAAGGAGCTCTCCCCCGCCCTCAGCTCTTCTGCGGCCCTGTCTAGTAAGCTTTCTGGCTACTAGCTAGCTACTTGAGACAGCTGTCCTCCTAGCAGCCTACCTCTTCCCAAAAACAAGTTCTCTGCTCTGAGTCTTTCCTCACCAGCGTCCGTTAGTATTCGAGCCGACCAGAAAGTTTCAGTTGGGAGACTGGATTCTTCCGCAAATTCAGCGGCCTCAAGGGCTGAGCTGGCTGAGCTTTGCAGAATGCTCGTTATGCTCGTTTTATCGAAGACGGGACAATGTCGACGATAATGCACATGTAGATGATACAATATGTAGACACTGTAAGCCTATCCAAACCAATAGTTGTGAACATCTTTGAAACATCCTCGCAGGCTGTGGGAGTTTCGTCTCTGTGTGGAGATGTTGCGTGAATGCTTGGACTCCTTTGCTCACCATGGCGGCTTGGCCAAGCCATGTTTTTTGCAACAAATAGAACACTACATTAGACTCATTAGACCTTTCTTCCTTTTCTTTTCTCTTTGTTTCCCAAGAGTGATGGCCTCCAACCCCAATAGCAAAATATATGACTATATTTCAGAACCGCTCGTGTTCAAGGGGGTCTTGCCATTCATTGCGTTGCTGAGGTGAGCGTGACGCTCTGAGCACGGCAGAAGAGACACTCCTGACCGTGGAGGAGTGAGCATTGGGAGGGATTTGCATGGTTAGCCTGCCTTTACCAAGCTCATGCACTGTGATTGGGGGATTGCCTGGGATCGCTTGGACACTTGGCTTGCCACTGCCAAGCTGTACTCTTCGCTGCACAGATAGACATATAGTGCATACAACTACCAAGTGGGGAGAAGACCCCTACTGTACCTGCAAGCTTTCAGGACATGCTCAGGCGTATTACTGAGCTAGCAGTGATGCCTCAAACCCAGATTGAGTTCTTGCCTGGCTGGGTTCTTGTTCATTTTTGCGTTTTCCTTGTATCTAGTTGCGTGAATTGGAAGGAGGAGAACATAGCCGAGTCTCGAAGCCAGAATTAAACATGTACCGTATATATATATATATAGACTGTGCTGTTTTACTTTCATGACATAGCTGCAGGCTTGGCAACTCCCTTTTTGCACCTTCCCCGTGTATCGTGGCACTGGTCGGGTTGACGTGTGCCATTGAGGCACCAAAACTCAGACGAAGCGCTTTTGGATTCTATGAGCTGCTTGACTACGTCAAGGGAGCACTCGGAAGCCAGCAACAATCTGTGTGTTTGTATCTCTCCACATTCATAATTTACTGCACATGCACATACCTATATAGACTTCTGCACTGCACAGGAAGGCTGAACAATCATTAAAACGCATGCAAGGGCTAAGTTCAAGGTGCAGTTCAAGCCAAGTTCGACATTGGCCCATTTTTGTGGTGTGTGTCCTCTTGAAAAGCCACGATGCTAAGCAGCTTGCAGTGTCGCTAAAGCACTACGCTGGCATGTTCATTGGTATGGTCAGCCAATCTCATGGCTTTTTGTGTGAGGCCATGGCTCTCCTGGTATTTTTATCGCACAACAGGATGCAGGGCTGCTAATGCAGGCTGAAGCTTTGACATGGGATCGATGAAGACTTCGTAAATGCCATTCAACCAGCGCTGCAGGTTTTGCAATCTCCAGATTTTCGCGAAAAAGGAGGCGTGGATTGTTTGACCTTGCATGTTTGGAGGTAGTCTCGTCGGTTCCAGGTCTTACTTCCAGCCTCCTATCTTCCAGGCGAAGTCATAGAACGCACTTTTTGTTGCATGAATACCTTTTCTGCTGTTTAGCACAAAACTCTCATCATTTCGCCAACCAGTTTGTCGATCTGTCATTTGGCACAAAGTTTGCACAACATTCTAGGTTTCTGTCGCGCGTACGCTGGGAGTGTCTGCACGCATCCAGGGCTGTTCATGCTGTCCTGCTTTAGGTTGATGGTCTCTGGCCTTTTGGAGTCAGTCCTTGGTGTCATTCTGGCGGGTTGACATGATGCTGTACATTTGGGACATGACGGGCAAACACTGCCGCTGTTGATTTTACACTGCCAGTAAGAAATCCGCCAGGAACTGACCTGCTGGCGCTCCCACCCTAGTGAAGCCGATTTGCAGGCAGGCCAACTAATGCTTTCGACCACGTTCCTCGCATTCGGGTGGTTATTCGGCTTGGCTGACCAACAGTCTTCAGGCTTGGAAGCGATGGGACCGAACGTGCGACCTGCAGTGCTTCAAGTCGGGCAGGTTGAACTACTTAGATGTGGGAGGTTAAACTTGAATGCTTTCAGTTTTTTATGTTTGTACTTTTGACCCTAAAATCCAGCACAAAGAAACCAGGTGTGAAACGGACAAGCACCACGAGCATGGGTTGACAGGCATGAAGCATCTCCGCTGTTTTCCGAGAGCGCTCTTTTCATCAAGAGGCAAAAGCTGCCACGCTTCCGCCGCGCCGTCGGACGGATTCTGATGGTAAGCGGAGCCTGAGTTAATTCTCGGGCTCTGCTGGCGCCGCCTGCCGCGGCCGCGCTGCTTCGCGCTCCACCTGCGCGCGCCGAGGTCCACGGGGGCCCGACGCCACTCCACTGCTGCTGCCGCTTGGATTGCCGCCGCCGTTCCAAGCTATGTCCTACACCCCGAGCACGATCCTGACGGATCGCCATGGAGTCCCTCAATACCAAGGAGAAGCTGAACTCTTCGAAGAGTACGAGGAGAGGGCGGTTCACCTCAGAGCCGGTCTTTCAGGTGCCGCCTACGAATCGGTCAGGAAGCTCGAGCACAACAAGCTGAAGACGAAGACCTCCGAAGGCAAGCCGACAGACGTCGGTATGAAGTTGCTGCTCCAGACTCTCCGAGAGTCGATTGCCGCCGAGCTCCCTGTCAAGACGAGTGAACTGTTTTTCCAAGCATTTTACCCGAATGTTTGGAGGCGGAACAACGAAACTATGCAGCAATACATTGTCCGCCGTGAACAGGACTTCAAGCGCCTGGAAGAGAACTCCACTGGGACACAGGTCTCCGAGCAGATTCGGGCCATGATGCTGCTGTGCTTTGGCGGCTTGGACCCGAAGGAGCAAACCTCCGTGTTGAGTTCCTGCAACAACACCTACGAGTTCCAGAAGATCGCCCACGCTATGAGAATTCAGTTTCCAAACTCGGCTGGAAAGCCAGTTGTGAGAAGGGACTACCTGGGTGCTCGCGGTGGAAGCTCCTTTCCGAACCATCACGTGGAAGCCCGCTGGAAAGCTCGCCTCAAGGGTAAGACCAGACAGATCCTGGCAGTTGAGGAGGACGCCCAAAGCTATGATAACCCGGACGATGAGGCCTACTTCGAGGACGATGAGATCCACCAGAATGAAGAGGATTCTGAAGAGGCCCACCAGCAGGGATACTCAGACGACGACCTCATGGGTGCCCTGTTGTCGGAGTTTCCCGACATGTCCGAGGACCCACAAGTCGCCGAAGCCTTTGCGACAGTGGCTCAACACAGATTCAAGAAGAAGAAGTTCATGGGCCGTCCTACATCGTCGCTGAGCTCTACTACCAGCACGGGTTCCCCAGTTGGGTTCACAGCGAAAGGGGAAATGAGCTTCTCAGAGAAAGCTCGAGATCAGCGCAGGTCTGCCGTCAAGTTTCTCAAGTCAGTCACTCCCTGCACTGTCTGCCACCAGAAAGGCCATTGGGCCGGAGATGCCGAATGTCCCGGTCGAAAGGGCAAGGGAAAGGGGAAAGGCAAGACTTCAGGCAAGAAGAAACCACAGAAGATTGCCACGACCCTGTTCGTCTCCCACGGCACTGGTGACCCTGAAGAAACCGCTGACACTCAGGCAGAAGACTATGTCCTGTCCGCTGAGGCCACTTCACCCGAGTGCTACCTCGCTCAGAACGTTGAGGCCCGTGAGAATGTGAAGGCCC